CCCCTCTTCACAGAAGCCGAGAAAAATGCTGCCTACAGTAAGGCCGCCATCTTCCTCTCCCTCGATGTCTTTTTTACTGTTCATATTTTTTATCTTTTTTTTCTTAGATAAGTCCCTTTAACAACTCATATAATAAGGGCTTGGTGATGATGAACTCCTTTAACTTGACCTTATCTGGGAAGCACTTTATCTCCCCTTCCATTCTAAATGAAAGCTTAGCTGGATAGAGCAATCTTGGATATAGGTCCCTGCCTTTCATGACTTGGAATACTTCTTTCCAGCCCCTTCTTGCATGTAAAGTCTCTTTTGGGAAATCAGCTGACAGTCTGATGGGAACTCCTTTGTAGGTAACTGTCCCCTTATCTCTTGCTGCTTCTAGAATTCTCTACTTCATTTTTACATTGACTAATGTAATTATGATGTGCCTTGGTGTGTTCCTCCTTGGGTCCAACTTCTTTGGGACTCTCTGAGCTTCCTGGACTTCCTGGAAGTCTATTTCCTTTGCCAGATTGGGAAGTTCTCCTTTATTATTTGTTCAAATCACTTTTCCACTTGTTGTTTTTCCTCTTCCCCTTCTAGTACCCCTATAATTCAGATGTTGGAATGTTTAAAGATGTTCTGGAGGTCCCTAAGCCTCTCCTCATTTTTTGAATTCTTGTTTCTTCATTCTCTTCTGTTTGGTTGTTTTTTTCTTCCTTCTGGTCCACTCTATTGTTTTGAGTCCCAGTTTCCTTTCCATCACTATTGGTTCCCTGTGCATTTTCCTTCATTTCTCTTATCATAGCCTGCATTTGTTGATCTAATTTATGACCAAAGTCAACCAATTCTGTGAGCATCCTGATCACCAGTGCTTTGAAATGTGCATCTGATAGGCTGGCTATCTCTCGGTTGCTTAAAAAAACTGGCTCTGGGGCTTTAACTCTGTTTGAGCTATCTTTTTTATTTTATTTTTTTCTTTTGGTCTGGTCACACCTGTTAAGTATGAGGGGCGGAGCCTTACTTGTTCACCAGGGCGGGGCAACCCAGTCGCTGGGATGTGACGTTGTATGTGGAGGCGGGGTCCGAGGGGGACAATGGCACCCGCTCCGCTCTCTCTTCGACTTCAGTCCTCTTTGCTGCTTCCCACAAGCAAATTGGGCCCCTCTGGTGCTGGCTCCCGGGCCGGTGGGTTTGTGTACTTTCTCGACTCTGTGGGTTTCTCCAAGGTGCCTCCTGTGAGGCTGAGAGAATCTCCCAGCCTCAACCCCCACAGGTGTTTTCAGCCGGTGCCTTTAGGCTTTGTTTCCTGGCGCTGGGTCCCTGGGTTGCATAGTCTGTGTTGCTGCCCATTTTCACTTAGTTTGTCTGCACATGAATGCGCGGCTGCAGACAGCCAGCTGCTGCCTTGCGTGCCTCACTGGGTCTGCTCATTGCCTCCCTTGCCCAGGGTCTGACACCCGTCTGTCAGCTGTCTCTGCCCGTCTAGGGTCCGACAACTGCCGTCTGCACCCTGCGCACCCACGTCTGCCAGCCACCACTTTTTCCTGCTGGGACCCCTCAACCCCTCTCCGTAGGCCTCCGACTCCGCCCCTCCTTACCGTTCTGGATGTATGGTAGTCAGACTTCCATTCGGTTCATTTCTCTCTGTTATGGTTGTTTTTTGTTTGTAATTTTTTAGTTGTGCGAGGAGGCATAGTGTGACTACCTATGCCTCCATCTTGGCCGGAAGTCCAAAAAAAACTATTCTTAATAACACTTTTTAGTGGGAAACAGATGGGCCATATTAAAGAAGATTGCAGTACATGGGAGCTCATCTTACTGTCAGATTATGAAAATCAAAGAGGTAAAATGGTCATGCCCTCAAACTATGTGAAATTGAGTTCACCCAAACCTGTCCTGTTGCATCTATCCTGACAAGTAACAATGTATGGTACATGGGGAAAGGCCATTTTTGTTGGGAAGGACTAGAAAATTCCTGTTATTCTAAGTCATTTCTATTATAATTACACTAAATTTATATTAAATGCTACAGGAATATGGTATAATACAGAGATTACAGGTAAAGAACTTTATCTCAGGCTAACAAAACATAAGAATATTAATACTGAAAATCAAATGTACTGGGAAATTGAACTCAATTCTCTCCATGGAGTTATTTCCATGGAAACTAGCCAGGAGAAAAATTAGAAATTTAGGTCATGAAATAGCTAAAAGTCTTCATTCATTGGGCCAAACCTCTCATAAAGTACAGATGGCAATATATGGAGGAAAACACATTGTTATTTTGGTAAAAACCATGACAACACCTGTAAAGCGTTCTTTGACTGGCTGAGACGTTTACCTCCCTCAAGCTCATCCTTACCTAAAGCAGATTATGTTTTTATTGTATGTTATTGGACTACGTTATTATTCCTCTTCCTGTTAGGTAAATGTTACATTAGACACAGAAGGATGAGGGGTAAAGTAAACAAGAAAACTCAGGTCATGGAGCTCATGGGTTAGAAACGATCCAGAATGTTTGTCATAATGAAGGCCCACAGGACCGACTGCCTCCCATCTACCTGCCCTTTCTTCTTTTGGGAAAATTAGGCCTTAATTCACATCCCATGGTTATAGTCTTGTCCCATCCCCAACTGCTCATGTTTCAACAAGAGAACGCAGACACTAAGACTTCCTCGGAATGAGCCTCCCTAGCACCATGGGACTACATTATTCCCAAATGGTTGGTCATCAAGGCATTGTTCCAACTGATTTATGACCAAAAGGGGAAACTATAAATGACAAGATGGCTTACCTGGCAGGCAGAACAAGCACAACACCTGAAGGTGACCATGCAGGATGTTCTGCTCATAAAAATTCCTAACTGAGCTACTCATAATGAGAACTCACGTCCTAGGCCTGTGTGGTAATCTTTACCTGGAGCGAGCCCTGTGCATCTAGGATAGGATGCTTAAATGTCAGAATGATCTCTTCTCCAGACCTTCAGAGATAAACAGCCCGTACCAGGGGGACATGACCCCAACATTCCTCACTGTTATCTCTATTTGTCTTTTCACTTTTTAATTGAATTTATTGGAGTGATACTGGTTAATAAAATTACATAGTTTTCAGGTATACAGTTCTATATACATCATTGTATGTTATATTTTGTGTTCACCAACCCACATCATTTACCTACTTCTTTACCCACTTTACCCACTTCTACCTCCCCCTACTCCTTTTCCCTCTGGTAATCACCATACTGTGGTCTGTGTCTATGAGTTTTGCTTTTTTTTTTTTTTGCTTAATCCCTTTAACATTTTCACCTAGCCCCCAGCCCTCTCCCCTATGACAGCTGTCAGTCTATTCTCTATGAGTCTGTTCCTATATTGTTTATTAGTTTATTTTGTTTGTTAGACTCCATGTATAAGTGAAATTATATAGTATTTGTCCTTTTCTGACTGGCCTATTGCACTTAGCATAATTCTCTGCAGGTTCATCCATGCTGTTGCAAAACATAAGATTTCCTTTTTTACTGCCATTGTGTAAATGTACCACAGCTTTTTTATCCACTCATCTACTGATGGACATCTGGGCTGCTTCCATATCTTGGCCATTGTAAATAACACTGTAATGAACATAGGAGTACATATATTCTTTCAAATAAGTGTTTTGGTTTTCTTTGGATATACTTGTACACATAATGGATTGGCCATAAAAAGAATGCAATTTTGCCATCTGCAACAGTATGAATGGATTGAGAGGGTATTGTGCTAAGTTAAATAAGTCAGACAAAGACAAATATATGATTTCACTTATATTTGGAATCTAAAAACCAAAATAAGTGAACAAGAAAAACAGAAATAACGTCAATGATAGAGAACATTCTGATGGTTGCCAGATGGTAAGGAGTGTGGGGGGATGAGTGGAAAAGGTGAAGGGATTGAGAAGTACAGATTGGAAGTTACAGAATAGTCATGAGGATTAAGTAGAGCTCAGGGAATACAGTCAATAATACTGTAATAACTATGTAGGTGTCAGGTGGGTGCCAGACTTACTGGAGTGATCACTTCATAAGTTATATACATTTCCAGTGACCATGCTGTACACTTGAAACTAATACAATATTAGATGTCAACTGTAATTTAAAATACAAGTTATATTAAAAATAAAAATAAGACTGGTCTGGAGGCCACTGCCCCAGGAAGGATGGTTGGGGCAGTCCCTCTTATCTAATTCCTCTGAAACCGGACCACAACTTATTGTTGTTATTACTACTGCCACTGCTGCACATAGTTTGACAGTCCAGGTCAAAGCCTGGGTGACTCTAAAGGGATGGTTCCTTCCTAAGCAGGGATGGCACCCGGTCCACACGCGGCTGCTCCACACAACCGCAGACACCGCTCCACACAACCGCAGACACCGCTCCACACAACCGCAGACACTGCTCCAGAAGGCAGCTGTAGCTGCTTTTCCTGATTCCTTGAGAAAAAGTCAGTGGGGCATTTTCATAAAATTCTTCCCACAAACAAAATATAGTTTCAAGATAGTAAACCCACAGGCAGAAAAGGATGTCATTATGCTCTGTGAGCAGTGAGCAGGCCTTCCCTTTCCACAGAGGCTGCAGTGAGGCTCCGGTCTCATGTTGAGGGTCGGGGTCCCCCTCCCCCAGGGGTGCAACAGAACCGCCAATTCCCAGAGGAAACAGGCCAGGAGGGGCACAGAACTGGACAATTTTTTGGAACTGCATTTTTTCCCCTTCCATTTTCTCCATGCCTTTCTTCTCAAAGGGGTTATAACTTCGAATGTTAGAGAGTGAAATGACTCTTCCTTTAGGAAGTAGAACCTTTGCGAAAATGGGTCAGGTTGGCTGGCTGGGCAAGCCATGGCCCATCTGGGCAGAAGCCAGTCTTACCCTGGGAGGAGGGGACTGTTCTCAGGCATAAGAATGAACCCTTAAGTGATAAGAAGTGAGTCACAAACATGGCTTATATTTAGCAGTAACCCTTGAAACACATTTAAAATTCAATCCTGCAAGTAACCTTTAGCTGCTGGGCTCTTTGGTGCCAGTTGTTTTCAGGATCAAAGGCAACTCTTCCCCTCTCGTGGGAGTGCTGGGTGGACATCTGGCCCATTCCTCTGGTTGGGGAGGACATCTAGGGGGGCGAAACACATAGCAGGTTCACTGGATTTGGTTCGGCCTTAGAGACATGGCCTTAGAGACATGGCCTTAGAGCCACGGCCTCCTGTCTCTAGCAAGGACTGTTTTACTTGCTGTTCATTTCAAGGGTTAATGTTAGTCCTCAGGGACTTATGTTGTTACCAAGAGAGATGGGAATAAACAATGTTTTCTCTTTCAGGCATGATCTTAGAATCAGTGCTTTGAGGTCACACTAATGACTGTAAATGCTGTGCGTACTCAGGGGACCCAGTTTTACAGGAGTTATGTGAACCAGATTCTGCGACTAATGCTTGCGTATGCCAGACAAAAGAATATAATGAAGTAACATTGCACTGCAAGATAATGACACCAACAACAATAGAAATAACAACAGTATTGAATATACCTTGAATGCTCATAGTGTCAGTAGCTGTCCCAAGTACTTGGCATATATCAGTTAATCTTCAAACAAGCTTATCAGGTATGTGCTATTATAATATCCTTTTGGAAATGAGAAAACTGAGGGACAGAGAGGTTAAGTAACCTGCTCAGAGTCCACAGCCAGTAAACAGTGGAGCCAGGCAGTATATGCAACTCCAGAGCCTGTACATTTGATAGTTTCGATAAACTCACTCACTTATTAGGAATATCATCTTTGATTGGCAGAATTTCTCATCTGGCACTCTGAATTTGAATGATGTAGGTCATCAGTGGTTGTAAACTGTAGTAAGATATTAGAATAAGCCAGGATGCTTTTCAAAACTATCAATGCTCTCCCTCCCCAGGCCAATTGAATTAGAAATTCTGTGGGTGGCCCCAAATATTAAGATGTTTTAACCCTCCCACCTCTAGGTTTGGGAACCACAAATAAAGGCAGCTATATCATATTTAGGTCCCAAAACTATTCATGGGACTTAGGGCCTTCATTATCTCTATCCATTAGCTATCTGTTTTAAATTAAAAAAAAAATGGATTTCTCTGTCCTATGTGGAATTACAGCAGATGACATTTCAGAAAAATCAAGTGACACTTACATAATCATAATATTGGAAGGGACTCTGGAGGTGATCCAGCACAGCCTCTGATACTTCTACACCATCCCTGGTATAAGTTCATCCACTTGCTGCCCAAACACGGGCCTCCTCTCCTGGCCAAAGCTCTCTGTGTGTCTGTGTGAGCATAAGCTTAAGGATCTTCTGTGAATGAGGAGGGGGCTTGCGTGTATTCCCTTTCTGTGGGAGACCTGGTCCTTTCAAGCATCCCTTGGAGTAAAATGTTAAATTTCTCAATCTCTGTTTCATGAATGGTGAACATTCAGTGATGCAATTCCATCACTGAGCCACCTGAATGCTATAAAGCTCTTCCTTACAAGAGCAGAAATATGTCTTCCTTCCCTTTCTATCCCTCTGCTCTCTGAAATAACATGGAATAAGCCAATCTCTCTGTCAGAAAACAGCCAAAACTATGAGAAGCTGACTACAGTGTCTTTCCTAAGCCTGCTTTTATTTGGAGGATCAGCCACGAAACTTCTGTGCCCTTCGTCCTGGGATGGGTCATTCAGGGGGTGCTCCTTTGGGCACTCTGATCCGTCTTCCCACTTCTAATGTGATTGACTTCCCTTTAAATGCTAATGTGATTGACTTCAAAATATAGATTCAGCACTTTATACTTGTTTTGTTAAATTTCCCCAGGAGGCTGAGTAGCGTGAGACCCTTGGGAGAGTGTGGGACTGAGACTCTGCATGTTCCTGTTTGAGTTCTCCATCTGCTGCTTCCTTTTTCTTCATGCTACACAGACTAGCATTCAATATGAAAAGAAGCAATAATATTTATTAAATGTTAAGTAATAAGTAAGCAGTTGACAATGGAGATAACCTCATTCCTTACAACTTAATGTAACTTCTCTGGCACAACAAAGGCACTATCTTGTTTCCTTTATCTTGAATGTAACCTTCTCTACCTGAATGTCTACTTATCACAATCATTGTGTGTGTGCAAACAGATGGCGTGCAAGTTTGGATACTTAAAGGTTAATCTGAAAATCGGAAAAAGTGACAATAGAACTTTTTTCACTTGAATTTTGCTTGAATTTTCACTGCTACTACCAGAACTATTTGGTGATAGCATTTTTCTGATTACAAATGGAAGTAATCAACAGGTTTTAAATGATTACCTACTCTGCAAGGGGGAAACTTCACAGCACCATGAAATAGTTGAACTCGTGCTGAAATGGGGAGTTTAGGACGATAAATGCTGTTGCTCAAGGTCAGGAACCATTTCTAATGTTTCCATCTCTTGGTCCGTATCACAGTACCAGCTCAAGAAACATTAGATGACTATAAAATGTATTAGGTGCCCTGAACAGTGTGGACTGGGCTTCATCCTGCAAAGCAAACGGTTACTGGTTTGCTTCCCAGTCAGGGTATATGTGTGGGTTGGGGGTTTAGTCCCAGAGAGGGTGCATTCAAGAGCAACCAATTAATGTTTCTCTCCCTCTCTTTCTCTGGCCTTCCCTTATCTCTAAAAATATATAAATAAATACAAAATAAATAAAAATTTTCTCCCATTAAAAAAAGTATTTGATTTTACAACTTTGTCATCATTATTACCTAGATTTCAATTGCTCATTGTCATGAAACACAGCTCACTTAAAAGAAAACACCAAGTAGTAGCTGGCCTCAGTGAGCCCCAGTCCCAGAACTAGCAGCCTAGACTCACAGTTTGGCTTCACCTGTGAATCTCCAAGCCCAGCACAAAAGGCAGCCTTCTCAGATTGCTTTATAACTCAGGCAGGGTGGCCCTGTGCAAAACACAGGTGGGGGCTGATTGTGGCCTGCACCAGCCAGGAAACCCCAGGGCCAGAGCACCCAGTGGATAGCTACAGACCACATCAGAGCACCACTACCCTGGCCCTGCACAGCTGATCATCCACAGAGCATGGAGGTTGGTAGTCAGTGGTCACAGCCAATCCTTGCAGCTGACTATCCTAGATAAATCCCTCCCATTGACCTGTCAACAACAACCAAGGCTCAACTACAAGAGGAGGGTGTACTCAGTCTACTTGAAGGGTATACCTCGAGTACCCAGCTTGGGTGATAGGGGAGGCTGTGCCACTGGACCCTACAGGACACTTACTACACTAGGCCACACTACCAAGACACGGAGTCAAAGTAGCTCTACCTAATGCACAGAAACAAACACAGGGAGGCTGCCAAAATGAGGAGACAAAGAAACATGGCCCAAATGAAAGGAAAGATAAAAACTTCAGAAAAAGAGTTAAATGAAATGGAGAAAGAGCTAAATGAAATGAATCTATCAGATGTAGAGTTCAATGCACTATTTATAAGGATGCTAAAGGAACTTAGTGAGGACCTTAACAGCATAAAAAGATCCAGTCAGAAACAAAGGGTACACAATTGAAATAAAGAACAATTTACAGGGAGTCAACTGTAGAGTTGATGAAGCTGATAATCAAATCAATGATCTGGACATAAGGAAGCAAAAGACAACCAATCAGAACAATAAGAAGAAAGAATCCAAAAAAAAAAAATAGTGTAATCAGCCTGTGGGACAACTTTAAGCAATCCAACATTCATTTCATAGGGGTGCCAGAAGGAGAAGGACCAAGAAATTGGAAATCTATTTGAAAAAATAATGAAAGAAAACTTCTTTAATTTGGCGAAGAAAATAGACATGCAAGTCAAGGAAGCACAGAGAGTCCCAAACAAGATGCACACAAAGAGCCACCACAAGTACATTATAATTAAAATGCCAAAGGTTAAAGATAAAGAGATTGGGGGGGGCAGGTAACAGAGAGAATGGGTGTGGGGTGAGGGGATTAAGAAATGCAAACAGGCAGTTACAGAATAGCCATGGGGATGTAAAGTACAGTATAGGAAAGGGAGTAGCCAAAGAACTTATACACGTGACCCATGGCCATGAACAAGGGATTATCTGACGAAGTGGGATGGGGGTGCTGGGGGCAGCAGGACAAAGGGGGAAAAGTCAGGACAACTGTAATAGCATAATCAATAAAATATAATTTAAAAAGAGAAAAGAAAAATCAACTCTGTCCTGGGTGAGAATTGAAACCTGAGAGTATAAACAAATCTAAATAGGCTGCCTAAGGAGACAAGAAAACATCCTTTCCCAAACCTCAAACCTGAGACATCTTGGACGAGCTGTTATCTGGAGCCTGATGACAGGAGAAAAGTCGGGTTTATTCCTAGATCTGCCACTGGGCAGTTTATCCCCTGGCTGTTGTCAAGAGGACTTGGTTTAGTTAATTCAATTTTTCACTGGTGATATTGATTGACAATGATGGGATCTATTACATAGCTTTGGTAAAAAGTTTACAAATTAAAATGGCATTGTCTTACGCTTCCTTCCCCAGAGAATGTGGGAGGTATGGTGCTTCCATCCACAGGCTGTTTTGTTGGAACTCAGTGTCTGAGCCACCCCAGTGGGCGCCGCTGGGCAAGTAAAGCATGCTTCTACATTATCTCTTTGAAAGTGGAATGGGACACAACCTCTGCCAGCTATTTTTTTTTTTGTGAACCATTCTATTAATACCAATCAAATTGAGAAAATGATCAAATGAAATTGCATTTTGAGCATCATAAGCTGTGTAATGTCTATTCTGTTAAATTGGGGCCTATAATTGCTTCTCTACTGAAAAGATACAACAAAGACAGCAATCATGGCATGTCATTATCCCAGACTAGAAAACCGGCCTTTGCTGGGAGGACTTCAAAGGCTTGTGGTTCTCGAATTGCATTTGGCTGCTATTGTGGAAGCGCAGGCAATCTTGATTAGGTGTTTACACTGAGGGAAGGCACAGAGCAGGGAGCCTGAGTGCCTGGGTCTAGAGCCATTAAAAAATTGTACATTATGTTCCTTGCTTTGAAGTGAGGGTTTGTAGGTAGGAAAGCAACTCAGACTGAGCACAGCTGAGCTAGATTGGGCTGCTGCCGCTCCCTCAAAGAAACTCATCAGA